TTGACCAATCAGAATAAAATGTCGATCATTGTCGATCATTCTGATTACAGCCAATTAAAATGAATTTCCGTCTTGCTTGTCACATTTACCTGAATTTTTAGTAACAATGATGATCATTCTGCAATCAATAAAAAGTATAAAAGGGACCTAAATTTTATTTTTGCCGAAGTTGTGAGGTCCTTCCTATTTGTCGTATGCCGACTCAATAGAAAAATTTTATAGGTGCGTTAGCTTCTCGAGATTGTTTTTTTTTTTTTTTTTGGTGAATTGTTAAATTTCATAAGAGGTTGACAGGAGTGGTATCCTAGTAACATACTTTTGGTTAGGATTAGTTCTGTCATTTGTAAAGAGCTAATATTGTAAAACATAACAAAACAAAGTAAATAGTATATCGATATTATCTAGAGGTCACGAGATTGTGCCGCAGTAATATCTTGATAATCGGTTACTAAACCGCTTCTATTTTTATCCACGGGATAGAATTGAGTGTTTAAAGTGTTAATACACGCGAGAAGTCAGGTTATATTTATCAACACGTGAGTAATTTCTGTTTTATCAAATCGACTTGACAAAGATGATTGAATTTAAATTTAATCATGCTCCATCGGTTATTATCTCCGATATTACACCATTCAGATTTGCAAGATGATTATTGTATTCTTAGTAGACGTTGGTGTTTCGAGATATCGAGATGGATATTCTCTATTGGATATTGCCAAATCAGCAATTCGAAGTTTTGTAAAGGTAAATTTATAATACCGTTTATTTTTGATCTTATTTTATAATTCATATTTTTCTTTGAATATATTTATCTAGCAAGTGAATAACGGAAAACATGCAAATAATGTGAAATACATTCTCGCAACTTCAGATCATCATCGTCATTGCCTGAAAGTGGGTTTGTTTTTTAACAATGTAGTGTTACTATACAATAATTATAATGTTTTCCATTGAATATGTTAGACGGAGTTTCATGATCCAATAAATGCACTTTTTGAGCAACTTGAGCTATTACTACCTGTGGAGCCTTCTCGAGTTGGAAATGGTCTTTCTTCAGTGTTTGAATTGTTGAGTCTGCGCAGAATTACACGTCATATGGATTCGTTCTATAGAGTACGTTATGTTTGTACTTATACGAAATATTAAGTATTAGATGATTCATGATCGCATCATCATTATGCGAATCATATTTTATCACCACTTGTCTCATATTTTCTATTCATCCATTCATGCACAAAGTAATCCAACTGACACGAGCTCATACTACCTTCGTTTCGACGTCAGATTTTACTTACAATTTTAATGTGTGATCTTAATTTCCATTATACTTAAGGGTCGATATGTTGAGCATAATGAAACTACGGGTATTTTCTGGTTTACGGATGGAAAAAATCTTGACTATTTAAAGACTACTCTAGATTATCAGGTAATTATGGATTTATTACATTCTTAATCATTTTCAAAATTAAACTAACACAATAATGAATTAGCCTGAGAACAGAACTCCTAGTTCAAATTTTTACACTGAAAAGTTTCGTTGGGAACAAAAGCTTTATACCTTTTTCCTCTCATCAGAGACTTATGAAGTTCCCGATATATTAAACGTAGCAAACGCTAGAATGCGTGGTACGTAATATCATTGAATGTTAGTAATTTCTATAGTTGATATGTAAGTTAGATAACCGAATTTATATAAACGTAGGGCAATTATATAGTGTACAGAATGAAAATGAAGTCCTGCATGCAATTGGCAATATCCTTGGTACTCAGAAAGATCCATATCCACGCTCTAAAGAATTGTACCCATATACCTTTTTTGCAACATGTGGCGTAATGGTGAACTTTGTCGATGCATGTAGTAAGTCCATTTGTAGCTTAGTGTTAGCCTTTTCTTTTTCTGGTTAGCTTGTAAACTTAATCATGACATCATTTGTTTTAGGTAATGTATCAACAGATGATGGTTGCCTTGTCCAATTATATGTCGACCCTGTCAAACACGAAGGGTATTATCCGATTCCTGAAAATTTTTGGATAAATTCCGAATTATTGAGATTACCAATGGACACGTCATCTTTGGTAAATAAGTTATTTGTTTATATTGCTCCTTTTGTAACGCAAAATTAAGTATTATTTTCGTTAATAATTAGATTCGTCGGACGGCGATACCAACAATCTATTATTGGAAAGAGAATGTTAATACGCACGATGTACCATCATATTTACCACGTGATAGCTACGTAGTTTCGGATTGTGATATAACTAGAGAACTACAGAGCCAAAAGCCAGGGACAAAGTGGCCTGTATGTCTATTTATTGCTAAACCAACAACATTTTTGAGTTGAAATAGTATTTGTCAACACTAAGTATACCATTTATAATTTTTAGGTGTTTGTTAAGGAAAGTGGTCGAGCACCGGGATTTGGTGATTCTTTTGGTTACTTAATTGCTGGAAAGAAGAATGAGACTGATATGGAAGTTAGTCTTGTGATCCTTCCTTACAACTATCCAATATTATTTAAGTTGCTACGTACGTTTTCATTTTATTTATTTTATTTAATCTAATGTATTCATACTCCCATGAAGGCAACGTCCATATAATAGAGACTCGACGTTACTTTATGGTGACTGTCCACACGTTAGTTCTATATTTTGAATCTTACTTATTATTTTTTAAAGACCAATTGAGGCCGGAACCAACGTTAGAGTGGAAAGTCTCTTTCGAAAATTATCGGAAAAATTTACCTTGGTACTATTTACAGGTAATAAATATGTATATATCATGTTATCGGATTGTATTTAATTTTATATAACTCTAAAATTTATTTCTTTTTAAAAATTTTCAAAGCCACTATCTAAGGTTTTCGCCTCATGCGGTCTTGATAGGAGGGTCGATATTAGTCTTTTTACTAAACCAAAAACAGATGGTCTTGATACGTTAGTAAATCAAATAGTACAACAATTCGCAAACCCGAAGTTGGATGAAATGCGGAAGGATATTGTGGCAAATCGTTGGGTATGTATCCAAAAATTACCGATAATCTTTGATTAATAACTAATCTCCGTTTTGTTTAAAATCCAGTGTGTAACAAGGACGATACCGTGTGTAACAAGAACGACGCCATTGCCAGAAACGGTTTGCATTAAATTATCAATCCTTATTTTTAATTATTATTATTTTTTTACTAGAAAACTTTACTATAATATTATAGAATTATGATATGATGTCTTTGCTAGACATAACATCTACGATAAGACGTGAATTTCGGGAATCACTAAATACACCGATTGAAACAGGTTGGTTGTTATAAGTTACATTCGTCTTCTGTAATTATCATAATTATTCATAGTAAATTATTCTCAGATTCCGTGAAGTCGGTTGGCACTGGAGATATGGGAAATTTTAATAAAGAGATAATGATAAAAATGATCAAAAAAGATAATTTTAGAAGCCCATTCGAAGAAGATAATGCAGATGCTAAAAAAAAAGATGATAAGCGAGCGTTTGGTAGTCCATACAAAAATCCTATTCAGGTAATCTTTCTGTCCGTGATATTTATACAATGTGCGTGTTTCAATGGTCAAAAAATTTAATTGTACTTTTTTTTTCATTATAAAAGAAACCGCCATACAAATGGAGTCTGACAAAAATGGCACCAAGTTTTCGTGAAAGATTACCTTCAGGGCTAAAACCGATTTCTTTTCAAGGATTGCCGGATCTAGGAATACATCCCTTCGTAATTCTTCCTGGAAGACAACTAACAACTACGATAGGATCTACTACAACGAAAGTTCGATCAATAAAGTTACCAAAGTATCCGTTCGATGTAAATAATTCAAAAATTCAAGGTTACAAACCAGCTGGAAGATTGAATTTCAATTCTAAACCACTTACTCCACCATTGACGCCCACAAATGGATCGTTTTCACCTTTGTCACCCGATTCATCGAAAATGGACCTAGACGAACATCGAACATTTGACATGGGTTCTGATTTAACAAATGAAGTTCAGACTACTGATCATAATCACTCTGAGTCACAAATATTGATAGAACATAACGGACTAGATAAGCCTAATCAGGGTGGTACGAACGAGATGCAAACTAATCATGTATCCGATGGCCGTGCTCGAAGTATAAAGAGAGTAATACGATATAGGCCGTTGAAAAATTATGAAATATTCGATCTTCATTCTTCCAAATTTGCAATTGAGTTAAGACAACAAATTCAAGCGGATTCGCCAGGTATACATTGTTTATCACGTATCTATTATAAACATTATATTGATACTTATTAAATTATTTATTTTTAGTTTATAATGAGTCTAATATCGTTAATCAATTACGAGAATTTGCCGAATCAAAGAATTACTCGCAGGATTCCAGAATTAAATTTATAAAATCCATTAAAGAATTCGTTAAAGCTTCACGGAAAAATAATCTGTTACGAGAAGTTGAACTTGTTATCAGTGATCTAGAAACTGGTTTGTCTAATTCCACTGATCGTTCTATAAAGAAAGTTATAATATGATAATTGTATGTTAAATGTTAACTTTTATAAATATGAAATTTTAAAAAATGGTTAAGATTTATACTTGTAATTTATTATGCTGGTGGATAGTTTAAAGATTAAATGTATTTACTTTTGTGAAATAAAAAATTGAACATAAGAGAATGACTAATAATTAATAGTAATATTTGAAGTGACAATGCTTAATCATTAAATGAGTGTCGACAAGTGAAAATCAGTAAGTATAAATATTTTATCATAATCTATAATTAGACTTGTTTTCACTTTGCGGTACTTAGACTAATGTAATATGTTTACTAGACTATCTCTAGAGATTTTGTTTATAAATTTGAAACTAAATTTGAATTATTTGTAGGCTTTTATGTAATAGTTTATTTGTAATTTGTTTTTTCTTTCTAATAACGAGTATCTGAACTACAGGGATAAAAATTTGAAGATAGAAAAAATTTTACTTTTTAGAAAAGATTCTGATATCTATAGGCAGCATTTATAATTTACTTTAAACTAGCACTGATATTATAGTATTATTTTTTATATTATTTTTAAATATTAGTTTAATATAAATTATGAATGGTTTTACTAAATCACACTCTGTGTAATATAAAAATTATTATCAAAATAAATAAACAAAATTTAAAAAAAATTAAAATTAGATTAATATTAGGGTTAGAGCTAAGGTCTAGGGTGGGACAAAAGCATAGTTTAAACTAAAAATTTGCAAGAAACTTTTTTTTGTTAAAACACATAAGGTAGTTTTATTAAAGACTTTTTAAAAAAACAAAGTTTGTTTTGATTTTATATTATTTGATTTTGAAGTTATATTGCAGATCAATAAATTTATTGGTTAAAATTAATGTGGTGTTAAACACTACTAGTGTGCTTTAGTAAAACTAAATTAGAATGTTCTATAGAATAGGTAGGCAATATAAGAAATAAGCTTTGCTAATGATTAGTAATCATTAATTTTTTACTATCTGAGTTGCAAAGTTGGCGGAGTTTGCCCACCTATTCTATAGAACATCCCTAAATAATAAATCCTTTTATATAAAAAAATAATGGTTTATTAAATTACACTAGTGATGTTTAACATCTTAGATACCAAGCAAAAATGTTTAATGTTTTTAAAAACCTTATTTTAACTAAAATTTAGACTTACATTTATTAAAGTTCAGGTTTTCTAATTCTAAATTTTACTAATAAAACTATAATAATATATCAAAGTGGGTGTGGTGATTTAGTGAAGTTGATAAGTTGTTATATCTTCAAGTGGCAGGACAAGAGTTTAAATTCTATTAGTAACAAAATTTAAATTTATGGAATATGTTATAGCAGACTATATACAGTAATATATCGATCAGGTCAGCATCTATAACCTTGGTTATATCAGCTCATACTAGAAGGTTATAAAACAATAGTGTGATATATAAGTTACACAAATTCTGAATAAAGCAGCTAAATTAATCCAAGAGATTGGGAATATAGAAACCTATTTAAAAAGTTTTGAGTAACACAAATTTTTAACAGCACTATATAAAGAATTATTATCTGAGAAACTAGACATCAAAAGTAAACTAAATTTGGCCGAGTGTTTGGCAAAAGCATTATACCAACTAGGTTGCTAGATAACCGAAATAAAAGAATTTATTTGAAATATTAGAAGATATCTATTAGTTTCTTCTGAGCCATCTAAATTAGAAGTTTAGGGTACTAATGGTTGGCATCAAAATACTGTTGATAATTTATAAAGTGGGTGCTGAGGTTTGGATAAACTTTGTAAAAGCAAGAAGTAAGTAATAGTAAATGTCACAAATACTTGCTGCAGTTAAGGCATAAGTTACTAAAAATCTAAATGATATATACAGTATGTGGGACATGGACTGTTCTAGTAGATTTATCACAAGAACAAAGGATCTTCTATATAGAAGTGTGTATTCACTTTAAAGTTCTAAAGAACTTTTACAGCAATTTTTCTTTAGGGAAAATATCTGTCAATAGCACTAAGTTGATCAAAGAGTTTAAATAAAAGATCTATAGGCAGATTTTAGATATAACAATTAGTAAGTAACTATAAATAGCAATAGATAGTAGTCTATGTAGCTGCTCTAGCATTTGAACCAAAGTTAATAAAATGTGCCAGACCTCTAAATGGTTATCTTTATATTAAAAAAAATATTTATATAATATATGATTTAGTAAAATTAAAAATAAAATATTTTTTTATTAATATTTTAAAAACTGATAAATTAATTTACTAGTCTTATTATACTATATAAACTTGATAAATTGGTTTTTAGATCTATTTGGATCAAATTTCAAGAAGTTTTTTGAAGCTTATAAAAATTTTTATATACTTGTTATAAAATTTTTTGAAAATAAATTTAAAAACCAGGTTGTTAGCTGTCTAGCTAGGTTTCTATATAAAAAAGTTAGTATTATAATGTTAGTAAAACCATCTTATTCATTTTTTTAGGTACTACTAAACTATATCTTAAGCAAGATTTCTGCTACTGTTACTGGTTTGTATATTTTAGATCTTATTTATTATCTTATATAGCTGATTATCTTTTAATATACTCTTTGCTATAGTATATACTTGTTTTATTATTGACTTCTATATAATATAGTTAGAGTCTGTTAGTACTTTAGACATACAGAATTTATTGATCTATCTCTATACATTTTTGTATTTCTATCTAGAGTATTATTGTTTCGTAATGCCAGAGGTGTTTTCAATTCTAGTTGAATCAATTCTTTATTACAGATTTTTATTATATTTACTACTTCCTTTACTACTTTAATTTTGTTATACTGTTATTTTTCTAAGCAAAATCTTTATTAAGACCTTCTAAGTATAGAATTGTAGTCTTGTATCTTAAGTTAAAGATTTACTTGTGAATTATATAATAAAATCTTTTATTATATGGCTATTATATATAATATCTATACTTCACAATATCAATCTCCTTTTAAATTACAGAAAAGTAGTTTAAATCCTCTATATTTAAAAAAAGTTGCTTAGTTGTATTACATCATATTATGTATCTATAATTAGTAAATACTAATAAAGTTATAAAAGTAAGTTGTCGCATCCTTAAGCAACAGGACAAGAGTTCGAATTCTACCAGCGATGAAATTTAAATTTGCGGAAATGCATTACGATAAAACTGTATAACATGTTGATCAGGTCAGCATCTATAATCTTGGTCTCACCAACTCATATTGGGAGGTTGTGGAATGTAGTGTAATATATGAGTTATACAAAACTCAAGTGAAGCAGCCAAATAAATCCAAGGGATTGGAGGATACGGAAGTCCGTTTGGGAAGTCACGAGTAGAGAGGTAACACAGATCTTTGACAGCGCTACGTAAAGGATTATCATTTGGGGAACCGGACACCGAAGGCAAACTGAATGAGAACTGAGTGTTTGGTAAGCACTACATCAACCAGGCTGCCAGATTAACTAGAGGAAAAAAGATTCATTTGGAATACCAGGGGACGCCTACTGGTCCCTTCTGGGTCATCTGGATTGAAAGTTTAGGGCACTGACGGTTGGCATCGAAGTACTGTTGATAATCTGTAAAGTGGGTGCTGAGGTTTGGGTAAACTTTGCAAGGGCACAGAGTAGATAATGGTAGCGGAGGTAAAAAGCTGCAAGTACTTAGCCGTGGCCTAGGCGTAAGTTACTGAAAATTTAGGTGATATATATGTAGGATATGGACTGCTCTGGTAGGTTTACTACAAAAATAAAGGACCCTATATGATAGTGTGTGTTTGCTTTAAAGTCCTAAGGGGCTTACACAGCAGTTCCTCTTTGAAGAGAATATCTTGATAGCGCTAAGTTGATCAGAGGGTTTAATTGGATAACTCAAGTAATAGTGAGTTACAGACAGTGTTATAAATTCAAAAAATTTTTATTGGCACAAACACAAAAAAAATATGCACAAAAAAGAAATTTATACACGCATTATATATATGAAGAGCGCTGATATATGCGTATATTTAAATCTATGTGCACTGCATCTACTGCACAAATCTAATTTACATCACTGGTTACAGGTACGGCATCTAGTGTAGTTCATATGGGTTACATATGCAAGACTGCTTAAATAGACAACCAAAAGTTGT